GACACTTTCAATTTAACACAAAGTAGATTTATAAACTGGATACTCTGGTATAGATATTAGATTCCCATTGCATACTTTTCTAAACTCTCTTTAAATTGTTTTTAAATGTTTGGCCTTTTGAAATTTGAGTTTCAGGGAAATAATTTCAAACTGGTGCCGTCACAATACAGAGAGCTACTGTACTTAGGCGAATCCCATCCTTTGAATTGTTATTGTTTACCAGACATCAAAACCACTTCAAATGTTATTGTTTACTAGACATCTCACAAACTTCGAATGTTATTGTTTACCAGAAATCCCACACACTTCAAATGTTATTGTTTAATAGATATCCCACAAACTTCGAATGTTACGGCTTACTAGACATCCCACCCACTTCAAATGTTATGGTTTACAAGACATCCCACCAACTTCAAATGTTATGGTTTACCAGACATCCCACCCACTTCAAATGTTATGGTTTACAAGACATCACACCCACTTCAAATGTTATGGTTTACAAGACATCACACCACATCAAATGTTATTGTTTAATAGACATCCCATCCACTTCAAATGTTATGGTTTACCAGACATCATCGTGGGGATGTTATTCCGGATTTTTTCGTTCATCTCGTCCATGTAAGCCCCAGCATAACATAAAGTGGGAGCCGTCGTAATAGTTTCTCCCGTCTTCTTCTCACATGTCATTTGAGCTTCTCGGTGGATCTGACAATAAATGATTTAACTACGTCATTCTATATTAGCCTTATATTTTAAAATAGTTTAAGCAAATTTGATAAACTTTTAAAACCACAATGAAGAAGTGAACTCTATTTTCTTCACCAGACGAGTTTTGAATAGGAACGCAACTTTAGATGTAGTTGTTAACTATTGACGAGCAAATGAAGAGCAGACTGACTTTAGTTTATTTACCAAAAAGAAAAAGTACTGGAGTTCAATGTCAAAAACGAAATTTCTTTAAATTTAACTAAATTAATATTCTTAATGAATTACGTTTTCGATTTTAAATTGATTAAATTGCTGTGTTTTTTTTTCGCCTGATCGGGGCATCGTATTGAAAAATCAATCCACTGTGGTTGTGTTCAAGCATAAATCCCCCGTGGTTGACTTGGAACATCAATCCACTGTGGTTGTGTTCAAACCTCAGTCCACTGTGTTGGATGCTGAAGAAAAATTCTATCGATGTGATGGCATTGTACAGTTTAGAATCTTTGTTTTTCTACTTTAAGATGTTAGGTGTATTATACCTGGGCGAGTCTCTCCAGCTCTGGCCTTACAAAGTCCATCTCAATGACAACTGCCAATTGTTTACATTTCCTGTACCCTACTGGGTCATTGGGAAGGAGATGTATGTAAGGGATGAATGTTGTCATGACAGCCAGTTTCAGACACCTGTAAGGTAAAAACAGGAATTGGTTTTCATGACACCCATTTTCAGACACCTTTTTGGTACAAACATGAATAATATATCGTGACAGCCAAGTTCAGACACCTGTGAGGTACAAACATAAATTTGTTTGTATTTAAAAAAAAAATATATATATAACATGATTCTATGAAAAAAAAAATCAATTTAACTTTACCAAGTCTCAGTTATGGCTTTACCTTTACATTTCATTAATCAGGTCAGAATAATGAAATATTTATCGGACGTATTAAACTGATATTGTAATGAATCTATTGCTCTTATAACGCGTTCATACTTTGAAACCTGCCTTCTAGTGGACGTATAAAGGTATTTTTAAAGGGTATTTTATTTTTTCCTAAATATTTGTTATAGAGCTAATCTTAAAACAAGGGTGTCTTTCTCATGTCCACTATTTTTACACCATGGTCAAAAAGTTGCATACTCAGGCCATTTTGGTCACTTTCATTCTTTTGTTGAACAATAAATAAAAAAAGAAATAATTTTCAATAATAAAATTTCCGAAATAATAAAATGGAAAAACAAAATTAAATAAATAGAACTTTAATTAACACATTCATTTTACAGAAACCCAAAATCATCATGTGATTGCCAAATCTTTCAAATCTTATAACATCATGGACGTATCAGCTAAACAGCATCATTGAGTGTGAAATCTTACAAATCATGGGTGTGTCAAACCTTACAACATCATTGGATTGTCAAACCTTAAAACACTGGCGTGTGAAACCTTACCAAATCATGTGAGGATCAAACCTTATAAAGACATGGACGTTTCAAAATTTTCAACATCGAAGAAGTTTCTATCCTGATTACCTGAGAAACTGGTCCAGGGTGTCTGTGTACGAGACCAGCAACTGAGACTCCAGTTCAAGCTGACGACCGTACGCCATGGAGAAGGCGATAGAGCAAACTGACCGCCTCACCACGGGGGTAACGTCCACTTGTCCACCCTCTCCCTTCTGTATCACAGACTGTAAATGATCTGTCAAATTGTTTACGGTTGACTTGATGTACTGTTCCAAAAGTCCACCAGAGGCAGACAGGCTCCGCAATGTCCTAGCGATGTTGTGTTTCTGTTCAGTCCAAACGTTGCCGCTTGTGTTAAGAAAACCTTCGGAAATTTTCAGTTAGATGCAAGTAAATTATCATTTAAATTCAAATTTCATGGATTCTTTGTGTGAGTATGTGTCTGTGTTTGTGTGTGTGAAGAATGCCCCATGAACTTTACAGTTTTCTAAAATGTTTTTCCACAAAAGCAAGGGATTTGATTTCATGTGTCTAAAAATAACTCAGAGATCCTGTAGAACTTGTCTTAAACTCAAGTGCCAGCATCCATATTTATATCTACATTATTATAGTCAGACAAACTTTTGGAACACACTCTTCGGAGAGTCAAAATACCGCTCACGCACATAGAAAGCGCAGAGGAGAAAAAATGAGCATTGCCTACAATACACATTGGACACCAATAACACGTGTGTCCTACATGCGGGAAATCTCCCAAGCAAAAATAGGACTCATAAGCAACTTGCACACTGACCATCGAATATAGAGTTGTTCATCTCCTTCGCCACCTTTACACTCACTCTTCAATATCTAATTGGTCATCGTCGCATGTTAAAGACGAACAACACACACACAAATTCCTGAAGACCCTGAAGTGAGTCATCATCTACAAAAGTGTTAATGAGTTCATTGACTTGGTACTAGTAAAATGCCAAACCATCAAACACATGAAGAGACCCTGACTATTCCGAGATTATGTCATATAGCTATTCCATCTGTAATATTTATAGGTCAATTACACATACCAATCAGCCACTTGGCAATAACATTACCTTTATTGCTGGCCAACTTCTCAGCTATGAATGAAGGTGGGCGGTGGGCGAACTCGGCCCCTCTGTCATGAAGGACGCCATTGATCACGTCAAATCCACTGATGAAAACAACTGGCATGGTCCCCATGTAGACCTTGAACACGTCACCATATTGTTTCCTTAGTGTT